TAAGAAATCTACAAATAAATGGCTTAAGGAAGTCTGCCAATTGGGTGAGATCATTAATAGAAATAAATACAACTTTTGAAAATTGGGATCATTTTCTTATGTGCTAAGTGTTGTGTAAGAACTATAAGAAATACAAATATAAATGTTTACACCTATTTGTGGTATGTTTGGCAGCCCTGTCAACAGAGGGAAAATGACTCTCTGATGTCTGAGACTTCAGTGGCCATCTGGTTAATCTGACTATACTATAAAACACATGCATTTATCATTTTTCATTGTTCATTGATTTCACATAAACCCTTTTGTCTTTTGTCTTCCCATGTGCTTTGTGTTGAGCACAGATGAGGGCATATAAGCCTTTAGGTCCCTGACGAGTCACTGAAAGTTCTAGAATGGCATGAACTCTCCTTGAGGCCACCAGTACACTCCAGTAAGAGGTCCCACAGCGACCATGGCCACGGGACCTGAAGCAGCAGTCTGACCTCTACATTAAAGTCCTGGTTAACCAGCATGCTTCTGCTCTAATGGTGGAACCCAGGCAATGCCTATAGCCATCACCCAAACCGCCGCTGCCCTTTCACCCAAACAGAGGCTGTAGGGACACAATAGTGGGCGCAAACATGAATGGGCTCTCAGCACTGCAGCTACTCTTATGAGTGATGGCTTTGAGCCTCCTTGCCGTGTTAGAACACAGCAGACAAAACCCTCGTGTAACACAGGACAGAAAGGAGTCTTGTGGACAAAACAGGACCACATGGCAAGACCTTAAAATACTACAGCAGTGTCAAATCATGCCTGGGGGCTAGCATGTTACTGATGGTGTGGAAAGTTGCCTACAAGGTAATCAGTCTAAAGAAATAGGACAACATTTTAACAAGTTCTGTAACAGTGCCTAATCCTTAAGGCAAAATGGGCCCTTAAAACAGAAAAGAACAAGTGGATCATATAGCAAGAACAATGCAGTGTCCAACTCAAATGCAGTGCTTGACCTGACCTCTAGTGTCTGTTAAGGTATTAACACTGAATGCAACCAGATCTGCTTAAATAAAAGGGTGGTGAAAAGAAAAGAATGGTTAAAAAAATGCACATTAACACAGCAATTGGTGTAATGTTAATTAAAAACTTTGCACTTCGGGCAAGAAATTTTACATAAATAAACTGAAAAAACTGCAATCTTGATATAGATAAATAAACACAGATATAAGTTAAGAAATAAATACAGATATAATGACTAAAGCTGGAAGAAAATATTGTAAGAAGCAAAAGTTAAAAATATATTATTGCATGTTTAAAAATGTAAAAACAATGCAGCATGAAACATTTTACTGTGCAATCCAAAATGTGCAAGCTACAGCAAAACAATATAGTGAAAAACAAAATATCATCCTGAAAAATAACATCCCAACAAACTCACTACACAGCAATTCCCATATAACGCACTATGATTAATGGTACAGCAAGAAAAATGTAAAAAATCTCTATATATCGCCACCTGGCAGATTAGGCTGTCCAACAAAGGGAAAGTTTAGCATTTTATTCGATTTAGTTCCCACATTCATATCTGACAGCTAAACTAATCTCCAGGTTCAACAGTTAGGATGTTATATTTCTTCCTCAACAAAAGGGATGTTAAAATGTTCAGTTGTCATGAGTTGAGAAAAAAGACTACATTTCTTTATATTAACACTTCAGAGACATTGATGAAACAATAAACTCACACTAGGATAAAATACTACAACCTCTATTTTCACGGGTGTGTCAAAATTGTCGCTCCAACATATCCGTGGTGTTAACTGGGTGTTTGTTTCATTTCGTGTGCTGCGTATCAACTGCGTAATGGTGCTGAACAGAGGAAAACACCCCCAGAACACACTATTCCACACTATTATGAACTACAAAAAAGGACTCATGTTAGGAACATACATTTCAAGAACTATTAACAGTTTCTGTTTATAAATGGTACCTAGTGATCCTGCACTGTTCAAAACTTAACAAAGGGAGAGAACAGCTGGAGAAAATGGCGCAGCAACCCACTGTCTTTATACGCTCCTGCTAAGGCTGCTAAAGCTCCAGCCTCCGCCAGCTCAAACAGCCAAGATGAGAGACTTACGCATGCAGCTCGCTGTAATTCTGTCATCCCCGCTCCGCCTGAGGGTTTCTGCTTATTCGAAAGTTAACGCTCCAGGCAATGCAGGACAACCAAAGCAGCCAGCAAGAAGTCAACAAGCACATAAAGTGCATGTTGCTGGACGAATCACTGAGGAATCACATTCATGCTGATTTAGTGCTAATGTGAAATCACACATAATGTAAAAGGTTATGACTGAGAAATGTACACAGAATAGATGGCACAATTTTAAGGGCTAATTTTTGAAAAATGTTTCTCACAAAAAAAAAAGTCCTGGATTGATGAGAAAAGCTAAACTGGTCAAACGAATATGACATCAGCTTTACTGCTGAAAGGTAATACAGGCAAACAACTTCATCTGTCTGAAGGTTCATAACAGAAATGATGACTACTGAGGACGTTACTCTGTGCTGCTAAATATTTCACACAGTAAAAGCCAGGCTTCTGTAGAAAGGTGAAAGCAGACAGGTAATACATCTTCTAGGATGATGATTAAGTTGCAGTATAATAAATACGTAAGTATGAACCATCAGAGGATGAAGATGTATGGAATTAATATCGTTTTTGAGCATGAGTAGCAATGTGGGCCTTGTATGAATCCACTGTAGCCTTACATAAGCAGCAAAGGCCTAGTCAATCTCAGAGAGAAGATAGATTAATGCTACTATTTTCTTCAGGGGACTATCAATGTGTTCTTCAGCAAGCCTCTGTGCTGTACGTGAACCCCATCAGAACATTTTCATAGACATTCTCCTACGAGTGATCAATGATTAAGCTTCAAATAAAAGGGTCATTGAAATGCTAAGCCAAAAGGACTGAAGAAGAGCCATTCATTAGGTATGTGCATCTTTTCACAGTCATTTCCACAACAGGTCAATGCTAGGGTTCTTATCGATCTGAGAAGGAGTTAACTTAATAACTCCACACAATTCACAATGCTATAATACTAGAGTTGCCAGAAGAGCCAACGCTCATGACTTTGCACAAACATAGGAGATAAAGGGATCCATCTTTTCTGACCTCTTTCAAAACAGACAAGGAAATCAAAACAAGTCAGACTCTAGCTATAAATTTTACATTTCACCACACGCCCTCATCACCTCACACTCCCTGTTTCACAGGCACTCGAGATAGCAATACATTGGAGGGCAATGTATTCAGTTTCATGTTTGGACCAAGCCACTAGGAAGACTCAGTGCAGTAGCTGAGATGTGACCGAGACGTCTCAACAAATGACTGAGACGGGAAACCATTTTTTTCTTGTTACACAATGTATCCTCTGAGCTCGGTACTGGTTCCAAGAGGACAGGCTGCCCCAGCCAAGTAGGGTGGTTCTCCTCATGTTCAGATGGGCCTTCAGCTCCAAAAGCTCCTCAATCCTCTGTTTTGTTCTCTGTAGCTTGGCAATGACTGACCTCTACTCTGCCTGTCTATCACCCTCACTACTGTGAATTGTTATGACTCTGTGTTGAGCCGCTAGCAAGCAATAATGGGTGAAAGGTGAGGGCCAAGAACCCCCTGCTGTGAAAACAGTTCACACCTTTTTACAAAGACAGCCAGGCTGAGACAGAATGGAGAACACAACTGCAAATGTCTTCACATTAAACAGCTGGGTACAACTGCCATTATAAATAACATGTAAACACAAGAAAACATTTTCTAAATGTTGACTTGCTTGTTAACATATTTCTCTAAATCATACATATTTCCATCAAGATATCAATGTTACTGGAGGGGGAAAATGAATAGCTCAACTGATCAACTCCAAAACAAGAGGAAACTTCATTTTATGGCTACTGTGAAAAGGTGTTAATCATAAAACTGCTCTGTTTTGAGAATAGGTATTTGAGTACTCTTTCAGAAACAGAGTATTTTAAAGATCATTTTAAGGTTGTAAAATGCTGTTTGGGTCAGCCCTACTAAAACATATGATTTTACAGTTGTAAATCTGACCTCATATCACCATTCATCTTGGGTTAATATAACTAGAACGTGGTTTTGCTCCACACAGATTTTTTTTCCCCTCGCAGTTCTGAGCTCTAAAGACAGCTTACTCACATTTCACCATAAGCTTACAGAGTCTGACTGGGAGACTTTTTGGTGTATTATTCTTATTAGTTAGGATATGATGACATAATATAAAAAGGATAACACAGCTTTTTCTTTAATCTGAGCAGCTGAAGACCAGCGGAGGGGTAATTTGGTACAAAGTAACGCATTACAGTAATGTGATTAGTTTTCCCTAAACATCTTTATTTACATGTGATGCATTTCAAACATACAGTTTGTGTATATCTGTGCCTGTCTTTGTAAGTAATTCGTGCACATGTGCTACCAGGGACAGCTGACTGCACACTTCGACTGTGTGAATGGGACCGGCACAACATGAGAGCAGCGCTGGCATAAATCCAACAAATCTGCCGACGCATCTCATCATGGAAATATGAAACTGACGGATAAGGATCCTTGTGCTGATTAAGGAACCACTTTGTAAGATTTTATTTATAGCAGCTGCTTTTACTGGCTAGTTTCTATTTTTCAAACAGCTTTAGCCACTCATAATTTTAATAAAGCAAAGGTGTCTGTGTGCTCAGAGCAAAGGCAGACATAGCCGGCAACATGTTATTTGAATAACGTTTACTGTGATTGGCTCTTTATTTCCAAATAAAGTATTAAAAGGACTATTGGGTTTTCCCTTGTACTTTATAGTGGATACAGATGTCTCTGTATCAAGTAGCAAGATTATGTTTTCTAGGAAGTGATAATTAAATTAATCCCAGTACAGTTTAAAAGATGTAACTAGTAATTTGTAATTGATAACATTTTTGAGCAGCTACTCCTGCTGTAGAAAGCATACACATTTTTCTCATACCTGATAGGGGACTATACTTTCATGGGCAGTGCCCCATCTTCTGGCTTCTTTTCCTGCATTGAGGTAGTTTGCAGCTATATGAGTGAGGCATGCCACCTGAGAATGAGAATGAGAAAGAGAGAGAGAGAGAGAGAGAGAGAGAGAGAGAGAGATTTAAACATCTGCATCCGTCAGTAGGCTCATTACACCCTGCTGTTCTGTGATTTCAGGGAACTCTCACATGGCTGACACAGCAGTTTCATGTAGCTGAGGTATTAAAAGCTGCTACACTTGGAATCCAGAGTAATATCTATCTTTTTTGTATCCAAACTTACAACAAGCACCTCAGTACTCAGGAAATTACTACACGCTGACCTCTCCAGCACAGAGAAATGAAGGCATGTTTAATTTACTAACTTGTAAATGTCTGGTTATAGAAAAAAGGTACTTTTTAGCACAGTAGGATTTTTATGATGCCCAGGCGAGAGCAAGAGAGAGCCTAGGCAGCTGAAATAATATTTTGCAATGTGAACTGAAGCTCTTTAAAGCTGTGGACGCGAATACTGAAAGCAAAACGGAAAACTTGCACAGATTAAAGCAGGTTTGTGATGATTTGACAAAGTGCAAGGGACGATGGAGTATCCAGTAACACGGCCCATCTCCAGCTCTTTCTCAAGGCCAGCCAGACCTCCACTAGCTAGCCTGTCTGGCTCAGAGCCTTGTATTAAAGCCATTTCATCACATCACAGCTGCTCTTTTCCAGTGGCCACCTAACAATCAAAGTTTTGTTGATCATCCTGTCCATCTCTGTGCTTAAAGAATGCTGCTTATATTTTTATTTTTTTAATTTTCATTGGTTTTGTGAGAAACAGTTAGTTATTATTATTATATTGTCCAATAAGAAGTGATGACAAAGATCTGGATACTTAAAAGCTTCCTTATAACACAAGTCAATACCTGTATCAGTAGGAGGCTGTGAAGGCCAAATAATGTATCTCAGTTAAAAGGTCTATGTCAAATATATTTTCAAGAAAAATCTCAAGTGAGAAAAAATTATGCAAATGTTATGCAATGAAATACACATTTTTCACTTTGGTTTGAACCAACCAAAAGATTACTTTCAGATCGCATTACCTTTGTTACTGTTAAGCTGCAAGGCAACGTCCATATTCATTATATTTTCATTTCAAATAGACTAGAATTGATCCGCAACTGCTTTTAATTTCATCCAACGTTGCTCCCAATGGGAGCAGTTATGTGGATATACAGAGTGTCCTTTTTCCAGGCAAAGTGAAAACAGTTCACACCCTTTTCACTCTGACTACATCAAGACAACCGTCCAGACGTCCATAATACCCCATACCTCACAAGGGGACTCCCAAAAAGTCAGGAGCCCATCCATTCACATTACATTCACAGCTCTTTTTGTGCAGTAATCACCCTGTCTAGTTCAGTTTAGAGGGAATTAAATTTTATGAGGCGTCTATCTGAAACTGCAGAGCGTCATGATGATACCACTGTTTAACGAATCTGCTACACACATGTTTTTTGGACCGGTTAAAACACAACTTTGAATTAAAGTGGCAAATCACGGATATTGTTCTTCTCCTCTGAGCTCTGGGCTTGCACTTGGCATTACATCTGAGCAAAACTATCTGAGCAGCTTTCTGTACCAGGAAAAGAACAAATCCACCAGAAAAATAAACAAATTTGCTCAAATTCAAGGATCGTTTTTGTTTTGTTTTTTTTATTATTGTCCTACTTATGTGACCAGTCCCTCCCAACATCGTAGCATCTCAGTTATCACAACTAAACAGGCCTCTAATGCAAAAAAGTAATTATCAATCATGTTCACTAATAGTTCCCCATAGTGTTTAAGGATCATATTATAGAAACTCTCAAGAAAACAACTTCCACATAGTTGCTTTCAGTGATTTCTCCAATCAATCCATTACGCCAGACTGTATTAGCAAACACAGCTGTCAAAAAACAGTAATATTTTTAAATGAAAGAAAGATGTTCTAGTTATGAACGCTGTCTCATCTCACTCCATTTTCGTATCTGTTATCTGTATCTGTCATGCTGATGACCGCACTGGGCCACCGTAAAATGGAAAGAGCGTTAGATAACTCTGGTCACAAGGAGCAGCATGGAATGTGGAACAAGGGGCAGGAAAAGGGGGATGCTGGATATACGGGACAAGTCACTTATCCTGGGCTACTCAGGGGTCTTACCACAGCAGGCGTGATTCCATAGCCCTGCGGGACCACAGATTAAACTGATGCATCCCACGCTTCCCCTTGAGCTTTTCTAAACCCAATAGAATGAATAAACAGACAGATATAAGAGGTTTCTCTCCATGGTACCAACCCTCAAAGCACCCAGCTTCAAAATCAAGCACACTGATCCAGACAAAGCAAAAAAAAAAGTGGGGCAGACAATTAAAAACTCATGAACAGCAAGGGAAGGGGAGAAAAAAGAGTCCAAGAAAGATTCATACAAACCACAAAAGAAGGGCTACAAACAATCGCATTATGGGAATTGTTTGCTGAAACCACATCCTTCATTTGAACTTGTATCATCCAAGGGACGAGGGCTCTCACTGGGTAATTCTATGCAATGGTTCAGTGGCATCGTGTCAGTAATGCGACAAGAACATGGAAAACAGTAAACACAAACTTTTCAGCACATTCATTTTTTTTAAAGAATCTAGAGGGGCTTGACATCAGAGACACGACCGATGTACAATCCTCAGTATCCGGCAACATTTTCAAAAGGCAGATTTTATTCAAATGTACTAACGTAATTAGCTTCTATCGAGTGGATTCAGAGTTGATAAACAAGCTAAATTCAGTTCAAGAGTAAATATTTGCACTTTCTTTCCATATTCCTATTAAACAATGACTATAAACAGCTATGGGCAGAGTGGTCATATTAAAGAAAGACGTTTAGTAATTAAAGTCATTTTCCCTATTTATTTAAATTAGATTTTCCTTATTTACCATTCCTCTACACATTTGTTAAGACTAGCGTTATTATCTCACAATATGACAATATTACCTCTTAAGGCCCCAGTTACAATGAGTTCAACAGTAAAAGCGAGATGTGTGCAAATCACTACTCAACTACTTTCTACTCAAATTATCAGCACTGATAAAATAAACTAAACCAACAGATAAAATACAATATAACAAAGACCAAAATCAGTTCCTGGATAAAAGGTGTATTTCATAAAAGCATATTTCACATTGCAGAGGAGAGCTGTACAGCACTGATCCAGGTTTGAAGGCTCTCTAAAAGAAGCAGGAAAAACTTTATCTAATCATCTTGTTTATCGTAATTACACTGCACACAAAAATCTACCCCAAATTCCCCAAAAGTCTTGACTAAGATTTTCAAGTGCATGAAAAATGAAAAGGCTCCAATAAATGTTAAGTTAAATATTGTGCATAACAGAAACAGATTATTGTTACTGGAGTCCTGGGAATAAACAGATTATTATTCTTCTATTATTATTTTTCTAAGTGCTTGAGTGTAAGTAAATGCCATACCGTCTTTATTATGTTAGAAAACTGGATTCAGTTCAATCTAAATTACTGGAAAAAATTACAGTGTATTTAGAAGGAAAGAAGAAAGCCTAGGTTTTGTGTGTTATGGATATCTCTATCCAAACTGAGATTAAACAACATTTGTAATTTTTTTTGCAGTACTTTGACATTTTCTTTGCCCATTTCTTCAAACTTAAATGCAATCAGATGTTTGGTGGAGCAAAGGGATTTCTATTGTTCTGAAGATGAAGAAGTATGCTTCTGTGTGTGCATAAATGTCTGTGTTTAGTGGATGCAGAATATATTTCTATATGGAAACAATAAACAAAGCCACGCAGATTTGGGGAATGGTGGCATTCCAGTCGGCTTCATTTCAGGACACTGCAATTGTTCAAATCCTTTCAAAAGATATCAATTCTGCAAATTAGCCTAAACTGGATCTCTAAAGAAAATAATCAAGTACCTTAAAGGTTCCACCTTACCACTACCTTTAATGCAAACTTCATCATTAGATCTCAGACGGAATCATCTGACCTCAGTCTTAACAACTGATTTCATGAGAACTCAGTCATCCTCAGTGCTTTTTCAAACAATGCTGCGGTCAGCCTTGGTCAGCTTTGAAATCTGATTATATATTTATTTATTTTTCCTGAGCCCGTCAGTCTGTCTTACATTTTCCTGTTTTGTTCATTTGGTTGTTGTCCAGTAGCAGATCTGACATTGCAAGTGTCATTTAATTACAAAGATTATGGTGGGCCACATAATAATAATAATAATACATTTCACACCACTAAACAAGTAAGGGACACAACATGGGGTATAAATATTATTAAAAATCCTAGCAGTCCTACAACAACATTTCATGAGCCACTGCAAGAAGTGTATAAAACAATAACTGAAAAATATTACCAAAAAAAAACAAAACATTAACTTAATTTGTTTTGACAGTCTGATGAAAATGTAAGAAAACCTAATGGGAAAAGTCTGAAATTTCAGGCTAAATCTATGAACTCTTGCATAAAAATGCATTTTCAGCACCTCACAATCAAAAAACAGAGGAGATAATAAAAAACAGTGAATAAGGAATCCTATTGGCTGCGGTAAGCCGCACACAGAAAGGCTACATACCCCAGTAGTTCAGCCAATGATTTTCTACTTTCTCAAACCAAAGTGGAAGACTCGTCTCCAGCAGAGGTGAACTGTATGTGCTCTGTTTACAATGTGTGAAAGGCACGAGCAGAACATAAAATATTCACCAACAGCAACAGTGTCATCCTTCTGACTCATACATTGCCATGGCGCCTAATGAAACCTTGCTTTAAAGTAAACTATTCCCCAAAATCACAACAACATACTGTCAAGTGACGACCACTTCTGCCTGTGGATATGTAAACTGTGTGGCGCTTCACACTCTATTGATTTCTGTGGCGTTACAGTTACAGTGTTGGCGCCTGAGCTGTCTGCTTGTGGTGCTTAGACAGACAGAAAGAACAAAGTCCTCAAGGTGTGCATTTCCACTTTTGGTTTGTCTATCCCAGGGGTCGGCAACCCAAATGTTAAGAAGAGCTTTTTGTCCTTTCAACAAAAATTAAACCACTTTTGGGAGCCACAACATTTTATGTCCATTTTACTAAAGTAACATTTTACCCATCTTGGCTGAAAATGTGTCTTAATATGCGCTACCTAAGGTCCTAGTATAGACTAAAAATTATAAACAAAAACACAGACTTACTTTGCTCTGCTTTAAGCTTTAGCTCAGTGAAAGCCACTTTTCTCACATCTCTGGCAGGAAACTTTTCCACAAAAGTGGAACAATTTCTTTTAAAATGTCTCTCAACGTTCGACTTTTTACGAGTCTTAAGTCCGAAGTCTTAAGTCTCCAGCTGGTTTACTGATTTGTTTAATTTGCAACAAGAAACTGTCAAACACTAAAAAGTCAAGAAGCTAAAGTCAGCTTCTCATTTGCCAGCTTCTTGTTCTAATTTTCCCGGTCCACCTTAAATGGTCCCTTAGGCGCCAGAATGCAACTGCTGCACCATTTAAGGTGGAACAGGAACAAGTCTGAACAAGAGGCTGGCGAAAGATAAGTTGACTTTAGCTTCTCGATTTTTTAGTGTCTGACAGTTTCTTGGTGCAGATTAAACAAATCAGTAAACCTGCCCATACGTCTCCATCTTCATCGATATACGTCTTAAAGCTCTCTCTTTGTCTTGTCGCTAGTTACTAGCTAGGCGAGATTCTTGTCTGCATTGCTATGTTGACTTGCAGACCAGCACAGTTTCTGAGAATCATCTTGGAGTGGAATACTCTAACAGTTAAAATGAGATTTTCCAGACATTTTATCCATTTAAATTTTTAAAATTTAATTTATAACTTCACATAACTCTTACAGGCTCCAAATGACCTGTTCCATATCTAAACTACATTTTTTAAATAGTGATGAGATATAATTTAATTCTTTTCTCATTTCTTTCTTGTTTTAAATTCTGACTTATTCTATGTGTCTAAAAACATTTTATGATGTAGAAATTTATTACATTTTACTGTACTTCACACCTCTACCAAGTACAGCATCAATTGTATTACATAAACAACAAAAACACACAACCAGATACATTTTTAGTGTATTCAGTTATGGAGAGTTTATTTATTTAAAGTTTTGTTTCAAACAAATGGGTCATGCATGTTCAGAGCTTGTAAGATTCTTCCCAACTATGGAAACCTCATACAGTGTAAAGGCTTAATTTTACAAAAAAATAAAAAAAAACACCCCAAGACTTGGACTTGGGTTCCCTCTTACTCTAACGAAGTTGAATAGTTCTTTTATATGCTCTACATTTTCAGAGGCTTCCAATACCATATAGCACCCATATACGGCAGTAATGGCGCTGGTGGAATGGGATTTTTCAAATATAACTCTGCATTTCAGGTTTCTCTAAAGCTTAGTTCAGTATATTTAGTTCAAATACATGGAGTTTAGTTTATTACTCTGGAGAACTTGAACAAAGTCAATACAGAAGTAATGAGTAATCAAATTAATTTATTTATTTCAGGCTTGACGATCCATTGGCTAATCTCCTGATGTCACTCATGACAGAGGTGTGAAGACTCACCTGAGATGAGAGCAGGTTGCAGTCGATGTGAAGGCCTCGTCCAGTCTTCTGTCTCTGCAGAAGGCCTGCCATCACAGCTCCCTGAGCATACAGGCCAGTAGCCAGATCTGTCATAGCAACACCAGGCCTAACTGGATCCCCATCCTACAGCGTCAGTTGTGCATTTAATGACAATGTCATATACAGACCAAACAGCTAACACAGACCAAGCTTCACAAATCAGACTTTTGTGCAAATCAAAAATCATGATATCTTGTTATTAAAAACAACAGATCTAATCTTTCACATCAGAGCTCATGGTTGTCGTTCATAGCTGAACAGAACCTCAAAATTATTTTGCAAAATGAAAAAAAAAACAAAAAAAAAACAACAAATAACTAAATTCCACTTAAACTTCCGGTGGTCTGATAAAAGTGGTCCCAACTCAACTAAAAATGGACAAAAGTATGATGTATAGCTATAAAGAATTGTAGCAATCATCTTGAAGCCTGAATTATGTTTGTACCTTTGTTCACTTTGAAAGGAAAAAGCATGACATTCGGCATCAGACACCACACAATCAAGCGTATTTGTCACTACTAAACAACTGGATGCGGTTTGAGATAAGAGTGACGATTAAGGCATAGAGTTTGTATGATGTGAATTTTAGGCCATAGGCTTCCACTACTTGTCACCCACATTAGCCTCATAGCTCCAGTGCATGTGTTATCTGCAAATGTGGCTGACCATGTAAATTTGACTTTTTCAGTCCATTGCTATTAGATAGATTCGGGTGGCACACAATTAGCCCCTCTCACCTCAGGGCCTGTGATGTGCATCATCCCAGATACAGCAGATGCTATAGAGTCATAGCCAGGCTTGTGTGACTGGGGTCCTGTCTGACCATAGCCTGAAAAATAGGCACACGCACACACACACACACACACACACACACACACACACACACACACACACACACGTTGCTTGCATAAGTCTCTCATTCATGTGAGCACATAGATCTCTCTTCAACCCTCCTGGACAACCTCTGTGTATTTGACCTGGACTTGCACACAGAATAAGAAATAAACTGAGGAAAACTAAGCCAGCTAAAATGCAGCTACTCCACAGAGCGATACGTCGAATGATCTTGATCCAGCTGAATTCCTTTAGCAGTCCTTGTAGGTTCTGCAAGATCGGATCTAGAGATAAAGGTTCTAGGCCTGTATTTATTGCCCTGGCTAGAGTATGGGTTTATTCTGAGTGGCCCTGGTTAAACCATTGTGTGTGGTCACTTTTTGTTTATTTTTTCTCCCCCTTTGTCTTCCATCACCATTTTGCTAGGTATAATTTAACTAGCTCTTTCGAAGAATCTGAGCCTGTGTTGTTTTATAAATTTCCAATTACATACAAAGCGTGGTCTAGCGTTGCTGATTATTTTAGGCTGCGTGTTTTAGAGTAGAACGCCACAAAGTCAGTTAGGATTCACTGTCAATATTCTGTGACTTAACTTGAAAATATAATGAAAATATGACTTTTTATAAGCCATCAAAACTATACTCCTGGGTTAATAAAATAAATTAATGATTATTAATCAATCATTGAGATTCAAACGATACTAATTAACTACTATGATTAAAACAGATGAAATCCGAGCACCTCCAGAATCCAATCATCTCCACTGAAGAAAAGACTGAAAACATACCACCCAAACTGTGCTAGTTAAGTTAAACACAGCAGAAGGAAAAAGAGCTGCTCCTATTCATGCTGCCCACAGTACAGGCACTGAGAACAAATGCTCAGGCCGAAGCCATGGCTGCCAAAGCAAAATAAACTCTCATAGACTACAAGCAAAGCAGTTTGTCTTCCAGGAATCCTTCCCTAATCTTTGATTTCTTTCTGGGCAGTTCTGACAAAAAGTGTTCAGAGAGGTCAATCTGAGAAACACAGGGGACACTTTAGACCAGGCACGTCAAACTGGGGACCTTCCGGCCTAAAATACTGTGGAGATTAGCCTTTACCCTCATCTGATGCTCTGAATTCAGTTCATGAAGGCCTTGCTATTCAGCTGAAGCAGGTTTGTCTAATGAGGCAGTGTGCTGAAATCTGCAGTGTTTCGTCCTGTGAGGACTGGAGCCTGACACATGTGCTTTAGACGTAAAGGTAACAACAGCCATGTGAGAGTATGTAAGACCAAACCTGGATTAATGTGTCAGTCAGCTCAGGTCAAGGTTTTACTGAGCAATGCTAAATGAAGTTATATTACAGATGAACTAAAGGGAAAAACATAGTCAGTAGCAACAATAGTGTGGTCCATTGTAGAGAAACATACAGAGTGTGTGTTCACGTGGTGATGGGAACCAGACATCTGAATCACTCAATGTCTCTAAAAATTACCTCACAGAAACCAATTACATGAAATGGTTACGAATAAACTATTAGTACTATATAAGCACAAGCCTAAAGCGGCTAAATTGGCTGATTAGTTATCTTGCTTCCTAGGTGTAGATACTCTGATGCTCCCAAGTGATGACAGACACAGCTCAAGCTCACTGCTGCCCTCTAAAGGTGTTACAGCACCAAGCCAGAAGGCAGACCTTTTGTTTTCATGAAACCTGACATCACAATTAATGCAATTTCTGTTTTGTTGTAATTTACGTTTGCCTCAACTCAACAGATGAAAATGCACGTATTTTACATTCTGTTTGTTGTGACATAAACATATGATTGTGAAAGTTAACAACTGTGGAAAATAACTGATCAGCTTAAATAATTGCAAACAGGCAATTATATAATAATTGTGACAGACCTAGCTCCGATTACCACCACTGTAAAGAAATCAGTATCGGTACGTGTCTGTTTACTTGTTTGTTTACATCTCAGCAACTGAATTATGTAGAAAACTGCCAAAATCAGTGGAATCTCCCCGTTAGTCTGCTAATCAGTTCATCCCTCATTTTGCATACCTTGGGTTAAGCTCTATCATTTTGTTGTTATATTTTATCAAATCCATCTTAACCGTTCACCATCACAAACAATATAACAGCTAGCAATACCACAGCTGGAGTACTACCACCACTGCACCTATCATGACCATTATACTACAAATATTAATCAATATAACACCGGACTCTGTACTACGTCTGAAATCTGAGATATAAGATGCAGTGCCTAACAGGCTCTTTAACTACCCAGTCAACACTTACACAGTAACTGAAATTAACAACATTTAACAGCAATAAGACAAAAATGCTACTACTTCATAAAAACCATTTAGTTCTTATAGCACCTTATAGCCCTTATAGCCTACAACAGAACCAGACTAAAAACATTACAGTTGTGTCAAAAAGCATAAGCAATAACAGAAATTCTTGCCAGTGTTCATCAAAAGCGGTCCAGGTTCTGCTATGGCAACTCTGACACAACGTAAAAGGAATCCTAACCCAAACCTCAGTGTATTTGAGAGTGAAGGCCCGCCTAACGAAAGACACGTGTTGACAATAACATGCATTCTCAGACGCCATTTGAGCCTCTTTAATTTGCTGTAAAGAAATTAAGCCTGAATAATAAAATGAAAAACAAGGGGCATGGTTGCTTCTGTGAATAAGGGGGTTTTAGTCCCCATGGGCCATGGAGACCTCAAACATCCAGAGGAGGGAAACCAACAGTTGTGGCATCTCCCCTCTGTCTCACACACAGCACGCTCAACACAGCTTCACACATTTAGTGGGGTGTGTTCAGTGTTCAGCAGAGCTGGTGGTGTGTGCCTCACGCTATAATGAGCTCTTAACCAATCCACAGCAGACCAAGAACACTTGGGCAACTAAAAAAATACTACGAGATCAAAACCATTATTTGACTGTGTAAGTAAATTATACAAGACTTAAATGGTGCACATTCTGGAAAGAAAAGAAAACAAAACAGCAGCATTGAGAACATTTATGTACATATCGGTAGCACTTTTGGTTGATGGCATTGCCACAGCTGGAAGATCCTTGGCCCACTCCGAAGCGGCAGATGGCCCTGTTGATATAGGCGACAGCTCTGTTGTGGTCTCTGGAGTATTTGGCGGCGTTGTCAACACAGACAAGAGCTCATTACAGCATGAGGTGGCAGCTCTGGTGTGCTCTCTGGAGCACCCAGTGGCGCTGTTGGTGAAGGTGGCGGCTCTGGTGTGCTCTCCAGAGCACTCAACACAAACAGCGCCTCTGTTGTGTTTTCCAGAGGACATAGTGGCACTGCCGACCAAGGCAGTGACTCTGGCGTGCTCTCCGAAGCACCCAGCAGCACTGCCGTCCCAGTTGACGGCTCTGGTGTGCTCTCTGGAGCACCCAGTGGCACTGTTGACCCAAGAAGTGGCTCAGGGGTGTTCTGTAGAGCACCCTGTGGCGCTTTCTACACAGGTCGCATCCCTGGTGTACTTTCTGAAACACCTAGTGGTGTCCAGGAGTCAAGCTCCTGTAGCCATTCTGGCCAGGAGAAGTCCTCACCCTCTGTCACGGGCACCACCTCTTCAGGCTGACCTCCCCACCCCTACGAACCTGGTTTGGGACCATAAGTGAAGTGACTGGGCACCAGAACAAGTGCGGGCCAAAGACAAGGCAGGAAGGGCAGGATCCTGGCAAACCCGGCATATCCAACAGAGCACTGGGAGGGCTCGGAAGGAAAAGGAGAGAGAGAAACCAAGTCCGGGCAGGAGGGGAAGAAGTCATGTGCTGTGCCATGTTCCACTTTTAACAGAGGGAGAGAAAGAGAGCCAGAGTCACCAAGGGCCAGGAGATAGTGGGTGGGCTCAAGGAAGCGGAACTCTCGTAATCCAGCAGCCACTGTACAAGGCACCTCAGGTTCCAGACTGGGGTTTCAGCCTCGGCTGGTCAGTGGCAGTCCTATTCATCCACGCAGCAGCAATAAGTATCTTTGCCCATGTCTGTCCAGCTGCGACTGTAGTGCCTCATGTTCATACTTATAGGATATCTTAAAAGGTCCCTTTGGTCTGTGTCTGTGGACCAGGATCTCTCTCCCACCATGCTGGAGAGAGCCACTCTTACCAGCGCTCAGTGTTCGTCTATTGATTCGCTGCCGCTGTCTTTGATCAAAGAGATGAGCACCTGCACTTGGATGTGAGGGAGTGCTCAGTGGGCCACCTCTCCACTGCCACACCATCCCTACTTTGAATCTCTGTTACTTTGCTTTCCCAGTACCTATGTCTTCACATGGGAAGCACTAACTGTTTCAGCCTCATACCAGACACATTATTTATGTACAGAATGTGATGAGATATGAGGAACACGATGGTGAAGTAACTGGCACACTTAATCCTTTGACCCCAAGAGCAGCAGGAAAAAGCAGTACTTGAAGAAGCCACCACATAAGGACAACAGGTTCACTAATTCAAAGCCCCAGGGCACACTTTGGTTGAGCCTTCCACCAACCATGAAAGAACTCAGAATGAGGACTGCAGTTTGAGAGCTGAAAACAGTGATGTCAATGTCTGATTAATCCCCTTTGCTCATGACCCAAGTCTCCAGTGCACCAAGCAAATTATGCCTCCACTCCAAACGATGGTTCCGCACGTTGCCTGTCTAGTCACATGTTTAAGATCTCCACAGGGACTTGGGATGGTTACATAAGCAATCAGTAGATGGGTATTCAGCACCCAATACTGGACCTGAATAAAAATAGTTCACTCCAAACCAGATCGCTGTCTTGCCCCCTTTGGACTAAAGCAATCAACAAAGGGCTGACAGTTAATCATATGAAGACATTGCGATGTGGAAGCTGTTTGATACAAATAACATGAGAGTGAGGACTGAATTAACAATTTCACTAAAGCTGTATATGCAACACGTCAACCAGCCATGAATGAATGGATTCTTCCACTCCTGATTCGGGGCTCCAAATAAACCACTAATTAAAATGCTACTAACTCAAGCAGTAAGACAGGAGACTGCAAGTGATGTTTTCTTAAGGGAGAGGTTAATGAGCATATTTCCTCTACCTGGGGCCTGGCTATGCCTCAGTTCCACTGTCAGTTTAAGACGTAGACTCGCAGAACGACTTCAGAAATAAAAATTTGACTTTTAAAAGTTTGAAAAAGCAGCCTTAACACACAAATGCCTTAATGATGCCTTTACAACTCCTTTATAAACAGATTTTGGTAGAAATGTAATGACAGAAATGGACTGATCTGATTATGAAGACCATATAACTTTGCTTTTAACTCACATCCATCTGGCACTGCAAAAATTTGAAGGGGGTGGGGCGTGTTTGCTATTACAGAAATGCAAAGACACACTGTAATATCTTTAATGTGCTAAAATTATGAATTTCAGCACATTAAAGGCATGGCTGTGTGTGTGTGATGGTCCAAGTGTGTGGTAGGATGCACATTTTATTTTATTCTATTCTTATTTTATATTTTTATTCTTATTTTATTTACTACTGTAAAATCGGATACTGTGTACTGTGAGCTCCTGTAACCAAAACCTAATTCCTTTTATGCGTAAGCATACCTGGCCAATAAAGCTTGATTCTGATAATAAGACTGTTCTTAATAAATGTTTTTAAATGTTGTGTCACACTTAAGTGACACGACTAACCTTAAATATAGGAAATTATTCTTTCAAACTATGAAATTTTGCTATCTCTTTTTAATATAAACAACTATAAAATCCACTGCAAAATTTATTAAGCATCTATCTGTGATTCTGAAAACTGTTGCCCAAGCCAATCCTCAACATTTACTTCAATGGAAAACAGATCTATCACTTTCAAAACTCAATTCATTCTGGTGAATTTATTTTCCTCAACTCACAGAAAGAAAAGTCTTTATTACAATTCAGTCCCCATTGTGGTTGTGCTGCATTAGTGCAATATATTCTTAAATATAGCTAATAGGGGACATACCTGTCATATTTCTCAGAATCAGCAGTTCTGACCTAAAAATATTCAACCCCAAAACATAAAGAGCAAATGAACAGTGCTGATTCAAGAGCGAACAACAGCCTAGGAAATCTACAAAGCACTAAACCACCCAAACAAACAAGCAAAAAACAATACAAACACAGCACTATGGCCTCCCCTGGGCTAACTTTGCATTTATAAACTGGAGTCCAGAGTTAGCTTAGATTTTGCCCCTTTTAGTAAATGTACTTTTCAGTCCTTGCCAACATTCAACTAGTTCCAAACTATTCTTTGAAACTGTTGACAATGCTATTGACTAAAAATATGATGAGCCTGTCACTAATGGCTACACTTATACTAGTCATCACTTGTTCATAAAACCAGCTATTAAGCCATTTAGATTACCGAGTAATGACTGATAGTGGTCATTGACAGATATGCACATAATATCTTGCATAATATCATATTTTCTATTAAAAAAGACTGTGCACTTGGTTATTGGGCTCATTAGGGTATTGAGTTCATTGCTGGATGAGGCATCGATCTCGTCTCACTATTTCGCCTGGGTTTCAGTCTCACACGAAGGCCAAGAGTGAAAAATTTCCCCCAAGGAGAAAAATTAAACAGTGCAAGATGAGCGCTGTAAATCACTTTAATTTAACTGTCCACCATCCACAATTTAATGAGGTCTCATGGGCTCCACCTCCAGGCTTTTTTATGGAGGGAGGACTCGAGAATTTGGCTGTAATTGTGACCTTCACATGAAGAGAGGCAAAAAATGAAATAAAACAGAATAATTATTTGTATGCACCACTCACCACGGGAGATCCAATCACAATGTGATTCCAGTGTCAACTCTCTCATGGTCTTCTTATTTGTTTTTAAAGATAGTTCTCATTGATAGTTCACTAAATGTCTACACACACACACACACACACACTCACTCACTATGTATATTGTTTTTCTGCAATTATTAAATTCTTAATTTTTTTATGTATTGCCCCTTTCTGTGCACGTCACAGATATCATCAGTATTTCTAGGACACCCTACTGCTTGTATCATAAAAAAGAGAGATTCAGACCATTTACCAACCTGCAAACAACAACAATCAGTGTTTAGTGAAATCCTTAACTACCAATTAACAAATAGCTGATTGGTGGCAAGCCCGTTATACCATTACTGTATGCAAATATAGAACTGTACTGCATACTTGGTGTGTTATTCATAGCCTTTTTAAATATGTTACTGCTCTGCTGACATTTTTTTTTCTGCTCCAACTTGTTTCTATAGTGATGTCATTTTTGCCACAGAGTCCATCCTTATTTGTAACTACCATTTTTAGCCATCACCTGAACACTGACTTTGTGTTTAGGTCACTCTGTCAAACTGGCAGGACTGAACACCACCCATCTCAAAGCATTCACACTCGGCCCCAGCACTGGTTACTTTTTTAGTGTTCTCCTATTCAAACACACCAGCAGAGTGAACTGACCAGCAACTAGATGACTTAATTCTCAATGAACTGTTTATGAGTAAGCGTGTTTCTCATCCTATCCCAACACAAATCCTGCCTATCCTTGCTAGCAACCACTGCATAAGAAATTATAATGTGATGTTTTTGGCAGATTTATATGAAAGCACTCCTTTGATGCAAAGAAAGCAATGTGATATTTCACATGCAGGGAATAATAATAAAAAATTATGATGACTACATAAGCAGATCTCTGGCACCTTCCTCCATTTACACTAAGGTGTTTAGAATTTCCCTCCCACATGTACACGCCAAAGACTTAAACTGACCTCAACAGCAGCTACTAAATGTGAAATGCTGTCATTCAAAAGAGTTACTCATTTTCTCATTGCATTGATTGTGCGTTTGATGACTCTAATAGGAATTTCTGCAATGAATCAAAATCTCAGGGAAAAAATAACACGGGGTCTCATTCACCAACAATTCTTAAGAAGAAATGTCTTCAAGAATGGTTGGTGAATGAGGCCCAATGTGTTTCACATGATTTCTGAATGGAAAAATCATTTTGCGGTGCTATGGGTCCAGGCTATTTCAGAAGAGTACCATTTTGCATCTACTCTTGGAATGTGCGATTTGAGGTGCGTGCACAGAAAACATGATCTCTCTTTGCTTATCAAGCATGACTTGACCCTGGATTTATGGGTGCCCGATACATAAAACCAATCTTCTGGCAGTCATTATGGTGACAAAACCCATCCGCTACAAATCTGTGTGGTGACAAAGCAATTTTCAAATAAAGGCTCGCCTCTTTTACAGGTAGAAGAAAGCAGACACTAAACTCAAATCAGACTCTTCACAAGCCCAGAATGTATTCAGAACGTCAACACAGACGGCTTCCAGTAAAACCAAAATTAGAACATCATGGATGTGTTCATAACAACAATGAGAACAATTCTTACTAAATCTGTACATTTTCCTAATAAAGACTTTAAAGTAATTGGCTGGATATCATCCCTTTTACTGGACTCTCTTGTTCTTTCAAATGTGCAAGCCAAAAAGCATGCCCAATCTACACCCCACCTCAGTGTTTCTGTGTTTATGTAAGCCAATAGGCTCTTAAAAAAGTAGTGGCGAATTGCACATTTCTATGAAGCCAAAACTAGTTGCTCTTCAGCAACAGATTAAAAAAGCCTCCAATATGCTGTGCTGAAACAAAAGTATTGTTTTTTTTTTGTTTGTTTGAAAAAGAAAACAACAGAAAAAATTGAGGTACCTGTGATGGAACAGTAGATAAGTTGAGGGGCTACTTCACTCAGATGCTTATAGCCCAATCCCATCTCTTCCAGCTTCCCAGGAAGATAATTCTCCACCAGAATATCACAACATCTGGCAAGCTGACAGATGCAGAAAGACAGTAAAGACAAAGTGAGAGAGCGTGTATGCGTTCGTGCATAAACAACTTTGCAACATAAAACATTTTAGGATAAATACTGGTTGAATCAACATTAGCAGTGTTAAACATTTACCTCCGTTACAAGTTTGGCTCCACTTGGATCCTTGAGATTAACAGCAATGCTCTGGAAGAAATGCATCATAAATCACAAGTAAAAGGCCTAGTGCGATTTTACTGCTGACTATTAAATGGTGTGAATTTGACAGTAAGCTAACCAATGAGCCACACAACCAGTGCCAAAAACACTGCGTCAATGGTGATATAAACCGAAAAGACAAATGCAAAATTTACTGCCATGTGGATATACAGTATCACAGTTAAGCTAGATTTTGCACGCCATAAAGTATTATGCAGTACAGTGTTTCTTACACTATGGGTCACAGACATGTTTATGCTGGGTCGCCACATGATACGTCAATACATTTGCACATGGGTGAATTGTGTGGTAAGGCCTTTCCACACAGAGTACGGACTGAAAATACGCAGGTCAAGTTTTGAAAACATATATATTAAGAATAAGGCGTCTTTCACATCATGTTTACCATGCTGCCTAAAACTTTCAGTAAAGCCAGCTGGATATTCTGTGTCACGGACACATAATTCAGCAGGCTAACTAATCAAAGCTATGTCGTCATGGTTAATCCTGTAGTTTATTCGGTTGTTTTTAAATGCTCGGTTTTTCAAGCTGAAACTAGTCTTCCACTGCTTTCTGAACACACCTTCAGAACAGCAGTGCTGCTATAGAGCTGCGGTTGCTGTGAGAGTCAGTAAACTGTTGGTGCTGTTGACATTTTAGTAGTATGTGCTGTCTGTGTCTTTGAGTATCACTAGCTAAAATAAATACAATAACTTACAAAGGACCAAAACCTCATACACAATGTGCCAACAATGAGACCAGCCAATTCATTAAGTACACCTCCTTGTATCTACTCACTTTGTCTGTTTATCAGCTCCACTTATCAGATAGGTGCACTTTGTAGTTCTGCAATTACAGACTGTAGTCCATCTGTTTCTCTGCATACTCTGTTATCCCATTTTTACACTTGTTCTTCAATGGTCAGGCGCCCCACAGGACCACTGTCCACTCTATTAGACACTCCTACCTTGATGGTCCACCTTGTAGATGTAAAGCCAGAGACAGTAGATCATCTGTTGCTGCCCAGTTTGTGCTGGTGATCCTCCCGCCCTTCACATGACGCTTCCCACATGATGCTGTTGGTTGGATATTTTTGGCTGGCAGACTATTCTCTGTCCAGCAGTGATGCAAGGTACTGTCTAATCCACTCGCACCAGCGCAAAATACCACCACATGTCACTGTAGTGCTGAGAATGATCCACCAACCAAATAATCCCTGCTCTGTGGTGGTCCTATGGGAGTCCTGACCATTGAAGAACAGGGTGAAAGAGGACTAACAAAGTATGCAGAGAAACAGACGGACTACAGTCTGTAATTGTAGAACTACAAAGTGCACCTATATGGTGAGTGGAGCTGATAAAATGGACAAACAGTGTAGACATGGAGTAATGAAGTGGCCAGTGGGTGTGAGTAAATTACCCTACATTACTCTACAAATACACAGCAGTGTCTCTCTTTTCCATCAATCAGCTGTACATTACGTACTGCTAACGTGGGAGTGTCGGGTAGTGCTCTACTCCAGCCATGCTGAGCCGTTTCCCAAACTCAACGAAGTAATAATTAAACAACACTTAACTACGAATTGTTGACTTAATCAAGAATTATACTTAACTGGAGTCTGTAGACCCACTTCATATGACATTAACCGTGATAGTATTAAACTGTAGACCAATTACCTTTTTATTCCTGTTCACACTGAGGAAATAAGCACTCTCTTTACCCACAAATGGAGGCCCCCATGCTCTTGTGTCATCTCCAGGCCCTGCCATACACACAAAGACGACACCTTTTAGCAGAATGTCTTTCAGAGGAATGTCACACTGAAATGTCTCAGTCTACTATGTTCAAACTTCTAATCAATATTTTATATAGTTAATTTTACACTCTTACAGTATAAACACTAACAGTCTCCATACCAATTCATCACAGTATCCTTAAGCATGAAAAATGATATGACTATTTTTTGCACAGTGCTTCCTTCCAGTGGCTAACAACAGTATCACATACAGTTTAAACTGTATGTCAATGATCATCTATGCATGACACCTTCATATATCAGAATACCAGTATTTTATAGCTACTAAGGCTCTTTTACAGATAAAGACGAGACTCTCCCATCCGCCAATTCTTCCATCTCTTCTCTTTATCATTAAAGTGAAAATGACATTTTCAAAGAGATAATAAATATCATGTACTTTTGTTTAACAGTATTCAGTTAAACAATACAGTTTTAAATAAAATAAATATGTCTTTACTCTCAGTGAGATACGGAGGTGCTGATGAGGGTCTGATCGTTGTCCCGTGCTGCTTTCACGTAAACTCACCTGGTCGCTCCACTTTGATCACCTCAGCACCCAAATCTCCCAGGATCATCGTGGCAAAGGGACCAGCCAGTACTCTGCATTTGACCCAAACGTATTCAGATCATCATCTCTAATATTTCCTATCCAATCCCAATATACACACTGCTCCCTCAGCCTATAACTGTGTCATCAACTCAGGTCCTGGAGATCTATCTTCCTGTGAAATCTAGTTCCAGCCACAATCTTCAACACCTGCTCCATCTAACTTCTTCACACATTTTTGATTGGTTGGATCAGACGCATTGGTGTTGGGTGAATGGACGGGCAGCACGTTAGATGCAGGTTGGAACATAACTCTGCAGGAAAGGAGCTCTCCAGGAAGAGCGTTGGTGACCAGTGCCCTGTCGGTTTTAATATTGGCCTGCTAATTGGATTTTGATCCCCAAGCTTACCTGGTCAGGTCTAAGACTTTGACGCCATCTAGTGGTCGTATCTGCTGCCTACCTAAACATGCACAGAGGTGAAAAGAAATACATATTCATCTGTTAATGAATAATTCCAGTCTCTCTGTTTACTAGTGTCCTTATTTTGCTCTTTGGACTTTCATTAACTTCACAAACGGCACAAACAGGCAGCCCTGCCTTATATGACAAAACACTATGTGGATGATTAACAAACACAATCTCATAAACTATTTATACAGCCTACAAAAAGCATCAGGATACTGTTTTGTGTTGAGCTGCTGCTGCTACTTCCAATGCAATAAGAAACACGGCTGACCAACTACACAGTTTAATTCCACTAAAAACCACTTTGGTCACATAGTCATTACAGAACAGAGCATTCTGCAAATGTTCAGCACATGTATCATCAGGCACACTGGGGGAAATCAGCCTACAGCACGTTACTGGTGTCATGACAGGGTTACCTTTTAGGTCGGACGTGAAAGACCTTCTCGCATACGAGCAGTCGATCGTAACTGGAAGGAGGCAGGGTCGTATTCTGGTGAAACGCGAGAGGAGTTTACCGCACGTCTCTACCGACATGTTGCAACAGTACGGTGTCTGCTTAGGAGAGGGTTGGGAGCATCCTGACACTGACACGATGCGTAGTCCCGCCCAAAGGAGGCACTGAAAGAAATGAAAAGCTACTTTCTCGTACGCTTTCCTCTCCACAAACTCGGACTGTAGCTGTAATTTAAGTTGGAGTCACGCAAGACACGCCCTGACACACAAAAACGTGAAACGTGCAAGTAAGCAACTGATACGACTTTGGACGTTCTTCGGGAGAACTACATATCCCATGAACCCATAGAAGGTAACTCCACCCACAGGCAGCTAACGGTCAAGAAGCTGAGTAGCTGCCGTATGTTGCGTTTTATTGCAGGGAAGGCAGTGCGTAACGTTTTTAAGAACGCTTATACACTACGGCTGTGTCCCAAGTGGCTCCTTAGTCCCTACATAGTGCACTGAGTGAGTTATGAATCAATGACAATCAATGAAATTTGAACTTCTACACAAAAACATCGCAGTGTGTATCCTGTAGGGAATTGTGCGCATGTAACTGAATCTCAAATGGCTCTTTGTTAGACATATTATGTACTGTTTGGGTGCCGTTGTCAGGAAGACTTGCGTAGTGCCCTACAAAGTGAGCATGGAGCCGTTTGAGATTTAGCCCAAGTGATCATGAACTATGGGAAGTTTGTGGTGCTGAAAGTGCCTAGTTCTTAAACAGAAGCGCAGGGAGACGAAAGTGTGGTGCTAAAGCTGTGGTTTTGCGGCTCTACAGATGCTACAGGGGCTCCAGCGTACCGCACTGACAGGGAGTTTAATGAACTGATTCAGTTTACCGAACCGATTCATTCTTTTAGTGAACGGAACGGCCGTTTCAACGATTCATTTCGTTCCACGATGACTTTCTTTTCGTAAACTGGCTATGTATGGGCGGTACACAGGTTCATAGGTTGTATAACCGCTATTTATCTGTTGTGTGTGTTTTTTTTTTGTTTTGTTTTGTTTTCAATAACCTCTCATTCAAAAGGTTCCACATTTAACTGTTTCCATAAAGCTTGTTTTTTTCTGTTCTATAACGTTGACGGCATATATGACACACACAAAAAGCAGCCCTAGGTCAGTGATCTACATTCAAGTTGGGGAGATATGCAAAAACAATAACTCTGTCATATAAAGCCAAGCACCCCTGTGTTTTTGCCAGACATCTAACGTTGATACTTTACGCCCCTTGTGGGGCCGTATAACATGCACTTTACTCGGCACATACCATATTGCTTAAAACCACAGGTCTTAAATCCACAATGACAACAACGCCTACACAGCAAATTAGTAAAAGCAGCAGCAGCAGCTATGGGGTCAAGATGGGACACACACACAGTCCTAAAACTAGTAGGTAACAGTAATACATTTAGCCGTTAACACAGACGTTTAAATCACAGAATAACCACTTTGTTTGCTTTGACGCCAATCTGCCCGCAACTAAAACAAAATGACGAATATTTACTACTTAATGTATTGAGCCTTGACTGACAAGTTACAACTTAGCTAGGTTAGCTAATTAGCTAACGTTAGCAGCTAATCTTTAATAAGTCGCCACACATTAACCATGAGCTGGAGTTAATTTTGGCCCCTGGGTCAGTTGAGCGTCGGTTAAAATATGAATTGTAAATGACAGTTGGATCTGGCTCGCGCTGATCCGTTGAGTCTGATTTGATTTTAAAAGCAGCGCTGCCAACTTTAGCTACATTTTTATTAGAGTGAGACTTTAGCAGGTCGAGCCGGGGGCTGAGTGGGTGGGTTTGTAACGTTAGTTCAGCGTTTTTTATGGGGTCAAAGTCATTATAGGAAAGTCTGTCCGCTGATAGTGTTTTAACTTCTGTTTTAACCGTCTGTTTCTATTGTTTTATGCAGTGACAGGCAGCATAGTTTACTATAACTAGCTAGCATAGTGATGTTGCATTCACCCAAAATGAAAATGGTGCTTTGAGTTGAGAGTTTTTTTTTTCTAGCTAGCAGCATTTTAAAAATCCCAGGCACTGTAGAATTGAATTGAATTGAGAACCATCAGACAACTGTGTTTGCACACTGTGGAATTAGACCTCCACATTTAACCCATCTGTGCAGTGAAACACCCACATACATGCACACTAGTGAACACACACACTATGGGGCGGGAGCACACTTGCCCAGGGCGGTGGGCAGCTCTATCCACGTCTCCCGGGGAGCAATTGGGGGTTAGGTGCCTTGCTCAAGGGCACTTCAGTCATGGACTGTCAGCCGAGGGGATTGAATCAGCAACCTTCCGGTCACAGGGCTGGTTCCCTAACCTCCAGCCCACGACTTCCCCTCTTATCTCTACCGTCCCCCCTTATTACCTTCTGTGTTAACGTTGATGAAACTCGTCAGATAAAATATTACAGCGATGGTGGTGAACAATGCGGAGATAGAGCTGAATGTGTGTCTGATTATTGAGGATGGATTATACTTGCTGCATCCAGTGTCGCACGAATGAGGACGGAAGAGGTGACGAAGAAACCTTTTATACTCACCTGTGGCACGTATCAGTATTAGACATATTATGCAGGCTTAAATGCAGCATAACTCAGCCTTTAGGACTTTGTGGTGTGTTTTTCATTCACAATTAAAAACAGAGACATTTCCAGGGACAGGCCACCAAAAACAGGGAAGTCTAGTCAGCCTATCATACTTGGTAGTCTATGCTAGTTTGACTAATTATCAGACAGTGTGACTTTGCACGGCAATGTTGAGTGTCTTGGTCAGCTTAATTACTGTTTTGTCCTCGTTATGCAGAAACCTTTAAATAGACAAACTATGCAAACCCACCTCAAGACCAGAGAAAGCTGGAAAGCTGTGTGCTTTCAGTGATATATATTTCCCATAGACCTGGTCTGTGTTCAGCCCCGACAAAACATAGTAAAATGTTTATTTAAATGGAAACTGTGGTGCATTAAATACTCTGTTGTTTTACTCAAGTATTGCAACTATAGCAGCTTAGAAGGCCAATCTTGGCATCCCTCTAGTGTATTCTATTAAAAAGCTTTACAATGAAATATTTAAGACAAACGTCTTCTAATGTATTCAGTAGTGATGTACACCAAGCTGCAGCAGCTGCCTTTGTAGAGGACTTTATTAGAATCCACTAAGTGCACAGGCTTTTTAATATGATGGGGTTTATATCCATGTCAATGCTGATTGGGTAACACCTCTGACACACCCATCAAACAAGAGAAAATGTACCTCAAAGCCTGTTGCACACCGTTTCACACTATTTCAATGAAACATGTCGTTCAATATGGAAACCGTAGCAAAACGGTGCACAATGTTTTGAGACTGAACCCTCATGTAGCCCCAGGGGTTCTTGCTACTTTTGGATTAGTATCGCCTGAGGTCAATCAACCATAACAATAAACCTTACGTGATGCTTCTTTAGGATTGGTTTACCAATTTGAGTTTAACAACTGAGGTCGCTGATGCTTGGCCAAAAATACATGAGCCAAAAATCAAACGCATATCTTCATTATTATTTTATTTTACAGCAGCTTGTCCTGCAGAAACGATATATAAGCATCTCAGGCAGATTATGCTGACAGTACAGCGCCAGCATGGTGCTAGAAGAAGAGGAAAGAAAGCTCAATTGATTAATCATTTCATTTCATTAAATGCGTTCCCACCAGCAGTTAATTGAGCCAGGATTCACTTGGAAGCTGACTGAGACCTGTGGTTTTGTTGGTCCACAGTTCATCTGTCGTTTGCAGACCTGAGTATCCAGGGTGGAGTATTCACAGATGCCATAATGGAGCAAACTTAAGAAAACGTCCACACCATAGGTGGGTGTGAAAGCACTCTGAGAAACCTCCCCATCTCTAGCTGGCCAACAGTCTGCATCATGCGCCCGTGGCTCCATTGTCTCAAACTGAAGGTGTTTATTTAGCTGAAATGCAATGTATTTATTTGTACATATGTTGGTTATAATTTGAAAATGTTCGACTCTTCAATTCTTAATTAGAACGTTAATCTTTTTTCAACTTATGTTTTTATTACTTAACGTGACGTTACTGGCCCACTATGAACTACTGCTTCCACGTACTACAGGCCCGTGGACCACAGGGTGCTTCACAGCCCACTGGTGATTATTTGACGATTTATTTACGATTTATTTACAAAATGTATTGGTATCTGATTCTAGCAGTGTGTGTACATGTTAGGTAATAGAACAAAGAACTATGGACATTTCACTCTGCAGTCCGGTCCACAGTGAGGCCACTTTAATTTGCCTTTTGTTCGACCTGGGCAGCTGAGCTCAGGAGTCGCTTTCCGCCTCCGTGCCTCTTGTCATTGACGTCCTCCTCCTGCCGTCACTCGCGTCCGTCAGCGGTGTTCAGCATTCGCGCGCCGCCCCCACTCACTTGCAGTTTTCCTCTCCCCGCCGTCCCCGCATGACAGTATTATTATATTAACATAACTGACTGCAAAGTCAAATGTCCATAGTTCTTTGTTCTATTACCTAACATGTACACATACTGCTAGAATCGGCTACAGTATGTCCACATATGCCCTTTGTCGAAGCGCCATTAGAGATGGGTACCAACAGCTTACCAAACTTTTGAGTGACAGCAAACAGTCAGGGTTGTAATTGGCTAAGTCAAACTTGGTTTCTGATTGGACCAGTTCAAGCCTTCCTATTGGTCCATCAATTTGCCGTCAAAACAGGGTCAAAAATCCATACTTGTAAAAAAGAGCTTCACACAAACAGAAAGGGAGTGTTTGTGGATTTGCACTGTCACACTTGGAACTTCAAACTTTTCATGTGGTTTTATGGTCTCGCACAATGTAAATCATTTCACAACATTTCATTTAGAAATGCCAATCTTTTTTACACATTCAAAAATCCTTCCTATATATCCAAAATATTTTTACGCATTTGTGAATTTGATTTATGTGTACATAGTTGCTCAAACACAACTACAAATTTAAGTACATTTGTGAATATCTGGATTTTATGTGTATGTAGTTTCTTAAACACAACTACAAATCTCTGTACATTTGTGAATATCGTTTTACAAGCTCAAAATCTTTTTGACCCTTTCTTGACTCCATACACATCTGTGAAGGCACCATTAATGCTGAACGATATATACAGGTTTTAGAGCAACACATGCTGACAGCTAGACATCTTTTTCAGGAAAGGCCTTGCTTATCTCGGCAAGACGATGCCAAACCACATTCTGCACGTATT